GCACGCATATATATATATATATATATATATATATATATATATATATATATACACACACACACACACACACACACACGCGCGCACACACACACACACACACACACACACACACACACACACACACTTGTATAATGTTCCATTTAAAAGATAAAGGATAAGGGATCCTATCCTTCTGGTACCAGTACACTTTTATCATAAAAGAATCCAATAGATATTAAAATACTAAACAAGAATCTCGTCATTATCTTTAATAATTTTCAAGAAAACAGTATGTAGCATATTAAGTGGAAGATGTCTAGAATGTATTATATATATATATATATATATATATATATATATATATATATATATATAATACATATATATATAATACATATATAATACATATATATATATATATATATATATATTTATTTATTTATTCAGTTATTTATTTATGTTATATAATTAATACATATATTAATAATACGTTATATAATACTTTAAAACAATGTATAATTTTATTTGTAATTTTTGGACAAATATAACAAAACTTTTGCATGAATTTAACACATACATACAATTATTGTTGTTGCTATTATTAGTGACTTTATAGAGTGCACAAAAATAAGAAAATAAATTCGCTTGTGACTATTTATACATTACTTATGTAAAGTACATAGCGATAACAATAATTGCCGCGAGTCTAATCCAACTTAGTGTCTCTCTGAGAACAGGAGTCGTAATAAGGGGTTAACTGTCGCGTAAATTACAAACGGCAGCGACACATGAAATCTCGTGAACCAGTCTTAGGAAGAAAGATAGAGAGAAAGGTAATCGTGTGCGAATCGAGTGCGGACGAAGAATAGAATGTTGAATGTTTTAAGAAAAGTCGAGGAAAAAGTCAAGCTCGGTTCTAATTATAGGGCATTATTATCCGCTCAGTTTGCCGAGTCAAAAATCAAACGTTGCTCGCCGCCGTGACTGCGTACTCTCGGTTTCCTTGTTTAAAGCAACCACCATAGCCTCGAGGCAACGTCGAGAGACACGGGATATACAAAACAACAGGAAGGAGGCAAGTGAGCGCGCGCGAGAAGGTAGGGAAGGTAGTAGAGTAGGTTACGACAGGGAGCTGCAGCTGCATACTGCTAAGTAGAAATCCTTGAACAAGCTATTCAACTCCTTCTCCAACGCTGTATTATATCTTTAAGACGTCTCATGGCCGACCGGGAAATTCCAGTTTCCACCATAATTTCGGGCGGTCACGCCTCTACGAGAAACTCATGGGCAGTTACATTTTAAAGAGAAGAATCTTTTCTCGTCAGTACGAATGGAACATAATAAAATACATGAAATTTTCGAGGTCTTCCAAAGTAAGACTTACCGATAGTGATTTATACGTATTTAACCTTTGGATATAATTGTTAATTTATTTCAATAAAGAGGAATATTGGATAGGTGTATATAAGTATAGTATTTTTAAAATTTTATTTAAAAGGTGGTTTTACAGCAGGAGAAAAAATTTCATTATAAAAAATAAAAAATTAATGGAAAGATAAAAACGATTGTTTTCTTCAAAATAAAGAAACTATTACCAAATCGCGTCAGAAGCGCTTGAAACATATAAAGTAACATAGATTTACATCAATAAAAATATTCTAATGTTTAGAAATATTACATGTCGTTTTCTAAGAATGCGCCGGGTCTTAGAGGGTTAAATATATCTCTCAAAGACCGTAAATGTCGAGAAGATATCTTCTAACGTTTCAACCTCACACTTATCAAATGTCTTTCTTTATAGCAATATATACATAAGTAATGCTGAAATTAAGTTTGTACCGCTTCGAATGAGAAATTTAGAAAGCCTTACTTTCTAAATTTTTGAAGTACAAACTCACTTAAAACGAATGAAATATAGTAGTATTTTGACTCGAAACTAAATTAAAAATACTACCATTCGAAATCGCAAGAATAAATGTTACATATAATGGATTTTAACTTCATATGAGCGTTTCAATCGATTGGTGTAAATAGTACGTTATATTCACTTCTCAATTTTGAATGAAGATATTCGTCCAACGATTCAAAATGGAGAATGCACTCTGCATGAAAGAAAAATCGCTCGAATTTGAGTGACTCGCTAGTCATTTTACTTTTTAAATGAAATTTAATTCTAAGAAAACTTAAAGAGTGAATTATGTTATATACACAATGTTCCAGAATTGGTAGTACAAGCGACAAGGGAGTAATTCTACGTGGCTGTATTACATATTGCATAAAAGAAATGCTTGGAAACCCAATGTACTTAAAAAGGTTATATTAATCAAATGATCAAATATTATATTTAAAATTATTTCAAGTTCATCTTCAGATGTGCCATATCCGTACAATATTTTAAAATGAACTTTAGATGAATTCTAACATAAGATCTGGATGAATAAAAAAACCATGAAGAGCTACAAAGGAACTAATAACGTCATCTGCAATGTCACCTGGATCTCATGATATTGCACTCGACTGTTTCTCATTACCATCGAGTATACGATCGTATCGTGACAAATCGGATCATAATCGGAAGGGATAGTTCGACTCGAGAAATCAGGTAATGCATTCTGCTCGATAGAGCAATCGAATTATGTCTCGGAAAAGCAAATTAGAATATTTCCCAACGCCATAATCTCAAATCCACCTGCGAGTCGAGGTCACTCGGAATTCCTGGGCTTTTGCTTTCGTTCAGTTATGCTATGTGCATAACGAAAGCGACGTTTCCGTCGCTGATATCATACGAAATCGCTTGAATAAGTAACTGATAATTTTTCCTCACATTTTCGATCTTCAAGTACATAAATAAATCATACACTTGATTTCAAAACAGTTTGAACACTTTCTTAATGCAGTTTGGGAGATAACCGATGTTCCAACGAGAGAACTTGTTTATTAATTCCAGAAGTTAAGTTCTCTTATTAGACCATTGACTGAGTTCCAAATTGCATTGAAAAAAATGTGTAAAACATTTTAAAACTCAAATAATACTAATAATAGTTTTTCACACTGAAAACCGACTAATCTCGTAAATTCACACAAAAAGTACAAAATGTATTAAGTATGAAGTAAATGTATGAAATAAATGTTACTTTCAAGCATTTAATAAGTTTATATATCTCCAATTTTGTCATAAGTTTATTATCCAAAGCATCAAATTTATTTAAAATACATTCCGAGTTCTGAAAATAAGTTTAACATTTCAGACAGAAATATCAAATTAAAACAAGAATTCGGTTTGTTTACTAGATAGAGTCGAACCAACATTTTCTCCAATAAAGTTTTATAATATTCTTATAAAA